AATGTTAAATATTTCGATATTGTAATGAAATTTTAGGTAGTACCAAAGAAAACTGTTAATATTATTCTGAAAATTGTACTTCTGATGGTTAAAATTGTATTGAAATTGGAAATTGTAATTCATATAAAACTAAATATGGTTGTAATACATCTGGAAAAGATGGCTCTTGTTTCTGGGATGAAACTAACACAATTCCATTTTGTAGATTATAAGAATGTATTGATATTCCTATTATTGCTAATATGACACATTAATATTGTTCTACATTTCATCCTTAATTAAATTGTACTACAGATTTATATAAATGCATTAATAAATAATAATGTTCTAAATATTAAGAAGAATCTTGTTATGAAGGTACTGATGCTCCTTGTGTATTTGCCTTCCCATTAAATAAATCATAAGGTACAAAATAATGTCGTGCTAAAGAATGCTTAGATTATATTGAATAAACAACTGAAGCTTGTTCTAAATTAAAATCTGGTTGCATTTCTGATGGTATTAGATGTCTTAATAAACTTAATTGTGCTGATTATACTACAGAAATTGCATGTGATTCTGATGGTATTGATGGAATTTGTGTTTTTAATGGAACAACTTGTTCTAAAATGACCAAATGTGAAGATGCTTAAAAAAGTTATACAGCTTGTACCAAAAAATCAAAAGTTTGTCGTTTTAAATATGAAATAATAGATAATATTGAAAATACAAGATGCGATCCAATATTATGCAATAATAGCTTTAATTGTTCTCCTATTTTTAATTTTGATGAAACTTAAATCACTATATGTATTAAAAATACCTAAAATTAATGTATTTAAGGATCCCCTTATTAACTCTCTGAAAATAGATGTTACTCCAAGAGTCTTTATACATATAGTTGGAATTATGATACTACAAAATGTCAAAAATGTGGTAAATCAATAGTTATAGACCCAAATACAACAAATTCAATTTATCAAATTACATCTACGTCAACTATTCTTTTATTAATTATAACAGCAATATGAATTAATAAACTAGATTGATATTTTTTTATAAATAATATTGAAAATTAAATATATTTATATATTAAGAATATATATATATATTTATCATTTCCAATCATTTTACATATGAGCTCTTTATTCATAACTCCATGCTGCTAATCCTTTTGTTTTACATTTTTCACTATCCTTTTATATTGACATTTAATAATTCTACTCAATTCTCTCTTATATTTCATTCTAATGCTTTCTTATGCGATTTAGTTTATTCTCATATATATTCTTTTCTTTCTCTTAATCTTCCCTTAAATATCGTAAACGAGCATTCTTTTCAAATCTTCCATCCTCATTCAAAAATAATGCAGAATCTTAAGGAGGCCTTTAAACATTTAAAAAAGTGTTTTTATGTTATGGGGTTGCCCCAAAACGAGTAGCCCCTTTTAATTATTACATGCTTTATGAAGTCTCCTCAAATGATCTAGTTATTTATGGTAATTTAGTCTTCATATTTTCATTTCTTTCTTTGGCAGGATATAAAGAAGGTACTACTCCTACACATCCTTTACTATCATACAATGTCATTCCAGGATATAATTTAGATGAAAATTCTTAAAAATTAACTGAACCCTTTTTTTCTGGATCCAAATAATGAATTAGTAATTATTCTTCATCTTTTGATAAAATATGTAACTCTTAAAGTTTCTTTTTTAAATCCTCATGAGATATATAACCTAATATTGATATTAAGATTTACCATCCTTATCTTTATCAAATGAATTGTATATATCATATTATCGAGCACTTGCTTTAAAGATACATTACTCCACTTTTTATAACATTTGACCCATTTCAGGTGAAAATTTATTAGATAAAGATGATAATCCAAATCCTGGATCATAGAATGAAGATTTTTAAGTATCTTAAGGAGGTAGACTTAATTCTTCTGCTTTATTTAATGGTGCAGGACCTTTTCTCTTTTAAGAACATCTCTCATAAAAATCATCATCTCCTTCTTCATAAACATAAAAACCCACCATATCTTTTGGAACTTATAAATTATTATATTGAATTATGGAAAGTAATGCCCCTAGATCTTTAGTATCAATCTTCTCTCCACAATTTGATAGATAAGATTATAATTAATTTGTGAGATCAGGTGCATTTATGTATTGATCTTTAAGAGGATTGAGAATCTAATCAACAAATTAATTTTTTTCAGGTAGATATCTCTATAATACTTTAATCATTCTTGTTGCTCTTTATCTTAAATTATTTAAGTGATGAGAATTAATTTTTGTACAATCAAAAATATGTACTTTCTCTTCTTATTACAAAGGATTTAAAGATATAGTCATAACTGGTTTCTATTTCTTTTCTTCCTTTTAAACATATTAACTCTATAATTCAAATTCTTTCAAATGTTTTAAAAAGTTCCTATAATCAATTTAATATTCATCCTTTTTAAATTTATCATAGAACTTTTTAATTATTTCATCATTAACTATCTTTTCAGATATTTATAATCTTTTATAAATATAATAAATTACTTCTAAATAGCTTCACTGAATCTTTCAAAATTTACATGTCCCTATTTTGATGGATCTAATTCTTAAAAGGCATTATTCAATTAAGATAATTTATTCTTTAATATTAAATTCATTTAATTAAATTATCTATTCTCAATCTATGCTTGCATTTTCTCTCTTAATACATCCTATATTTAATCATCTTCTCCTTCTAATAGTAACTATTCTTATTCACCATTAAGAGTTTTTAATTTTCCCAAATCAACATTTAAAGCCTCATTATCATTAAATATTAAATTCATGAATTCATCTAGATTCAAATCTCCACTATAATCTTCATCAGCACTTGCTACCAATACTCTAACTTCATCTAAATTCATATTTAAGCCTAGTTTTTTAATCATATGATAAATGTTCTTAACAGTAACTTTTCCTTTTCCTTCTTCATCCCAAAGTGTAAAAATCTTCTAAAAATTTTTACGATTTGCATATCTTCTTCTGATTGCTCTTCTAATTTCCTTTACTTTAGTTAAATCAACCTTTCCTTCTAATGTATTCTTAGCATATTCCTCCATACCCACTAATTAAGTTTCCTAAATTGCTTAACCATGCTCATCTCTTTTAGCTTAAGCAAGATCAACCTTTTGTGTAGCTGAGATATAAAAATACATTTTACTTGATTATGATCTATTTTAATAAGTCCCTTAATCTTCTCTCCCATCAACATCTGTATAAACTAAATATGAATCACCAACCCAAACTGGTTTTCTTTTTGGTTTCTCTTCAAGATGAGCAAATCTTATTATATAATAAAAATATACCTAGGACGACTTATTTAAGGATGTTGTTTAATAGTTTTATGAGCACTCTTATAAAATTCTTAAGATTGAGAAAGTGGATTTTAGATAGTAGCAGCTAATCGCTTAGCAATTACTTCATCAAATTTTTATTCTCTAGCAGTTGATAAAAACTCTAATCTTGGTGCATCCTCTGGTCTTTTTCTACCTAAAGATCTATATTCAAAGTTAGTTTTGCCATGAAGTTTCACTCTTTCTTTTCTAAAATACATTTATTAAATTTATTATAATTATACATAATAAATATTTATCATCATTTCTTATGAATAATAATAACTCAAAAAAATCATATACATACTCTATTATATTATATTAGCAAAGAACTCTTATATTTAAAGGTGATATATATAAATAAGAATTTAATTAATTATTATATATATGAAAATTTTTGTTTTATTGTGTCTATTATTTTTAGGTCACTCAATACCAGTTACATTCAAAGATTAATGTAAATGTTCTAAATTCCCAAGTGAAACTACTTGTTTAGAATAAGTTAACTGTATTTGGAATACTTCATTTTGTTAAGATAGAAGTTGTAGTCAATATTATAACAAGGATAAATGTAATGCAGTATCACATTGTTCATGGAATATATCTAATTGTACAGAATTCACAAAATGTACTGATTATTTTATGAATGACCCATTTGATTGTTATAAGATTGGAAATTAAGATTTAAATTAGTTTTGTATGCCTTAAGAAAACGGAAACTATTGTAAAGATTATGAATTAGCACCATGTGGAAATTTTGAAGATGATTGTTCTGGATTCTAATCCTAATGGAATTTATGTTATTGGTATAAAAATAGTTGTAATGTTGTGGATATTAGATATTGTGATACATAAATAAATGAGGAATTATGTTTTATTTTTGGAGAGGGATTAGGATGTTAATGGAAGGATAATAAATGTTAAATGATTACTTGTTCAGATTATACTACAGAAAGCACATGCATATTATAAAGATAGAATTTTATTGAAGATGGTCCTCTTCTTTGTATGTGGGATGGTACAAAATGTACAGAAGCCAAAGATGTGTCCCATTTAGATTACTCTAATTGTTTAGTCAATTCATTCTATAATTATATATGGGATTCAACAAAAGGTGTTTGTGTTGCTTGTAAAGATTACACACCACCTACATCATAAACCCCATGAAAATTAAATACTTGATTAATATTTTTGTTTTACAGAAAATCTATAAGTATTATTCCATTCTCCTATTTTACTGGATATTAAGTATACTAAAAATATATATTTCTCCTAAATTATTATAATCATAATCAACCTTCTAAATGAAGTTACTTCTCTCACACTACTTGAAAATATAAAAGGTACTCTTTTTCTATGTAATTAAGAATTCTTTAATACTAAATAAATATTTTATCAAAGTAATTCTTACACATTTTAAATATCAAATGAATAGTTACTATATATTAAAGAATTCCATATTTCTAAACATAATAGATTGAGTAATAAGTATTTATTAAGATTTATTGTAAAAATTGGAAAGTACTTAAAAATATTTTTGTTAATCTAATTATATTTGATGCATAAATAATTTAATATAGAAACTATATTTCATAAAGTGTAACATAAATATTGATTATTATTGTATTTTATTTAAATAAATGGGAAATGCATGTCGTTGTCAATAATTCAGTCCTGAAAATATGGAACTCATATCAGGTAGAAATGAGAACGTAAATAAAAAAGGAGACACTATCACAATTCCTCACTAAAATGGAACAACTGTATCTAAAAAGACTACTCATAAATAAAATGATGATGATGGAGATGAAGATCAGCAAGTTTAAGAAGTATAATAAATTGAAGTAGTTCATTATTATTCATATTAGCTTAAACGTGGTGATAAAAAGAAATAAGCAAAGATTAATGCAGTGTCAGATACAGTGGAAATATTTGAAAATATCAAAAAATTAGATAAAAGAAAATCACCATTCGATTATTAATTAATGTTAAATGCTTTCAATGAGCATTTCATCTTTAAATCTGTACCTTAGAGTGACATAGAATATGTAGTTGATTAAATGTTTTATTGTACTGTTCCTGATGGATAATTTGTATTCAAATAAGGAGATAAAGCAAGTTCTTATTTTTTAATTGAAAGAGGATAGTGTTAGATTATAATTAATGGTGAACTTAAAAAAACATTAAAAAGTGGAGATGCTTTTGGTGAATTAGCTATGCTTTATAATGCACCTAGAAGTGCTAGTGTCAGAGCTATAGGAGGTATATATCTTAATGAATATGTATTAGATTGTGCATTTTGGGCTATAGATAGAAATACTTTTAGGAAGGTAGTAGAGTAATAAAATTAAAGAAGTTATGAAGAAAATAGAGAATTTATGAAGAAAGTTGAATTTTTTTGTAATTATTAATCAATTTATATTATAGCTTTTTTAACTGAAGAATAAAGAGATGCAATTTCTAGTGTTTTAATTACTTTGATTTTTAAGAAAGGAGAAATAATAGTATCTGAAGGTGATGTTGCCAATTCATTTTATATTATTAAAAAAGGAAAGGTTGCTATTATAAAAGGAGATAAAGAAGTATCTTAAATGAATGCTGGTGAATCCTTTGGTGAAGCTGCATTATATTAAAGTTGTTAAAGAGCTGCTACAGTAAAAGCAGCAGAAGAAGAAGTGAGATGTCTATCTTTATCTAAAGATGATATCTAAAGAATATTAGGTTAAAAAATATAGACTGTTAAGTATATTAATACTTAAAAATGGGCATTATAATAGAGTCCTTTATTGGGAAAGTTAACTTCAATTTAGATTGAAAAGATTCTATAAAACATTAGATAGGTACATTATGAGAAAAATGAAATTATTATAAAATCAGGATAGCCTTGCACTAAAGTTTATATAATTTTAGAGGGAGAAATAGCTACAGTAAAACTTTATTTCGTAATTATAAGGTCTATAGATGCCCTCTAAACAATAAGTATTGGGTAAAGGAAAAATCTTTGGAGAATAATTTTTGAAATCTTAAAATTAAGATAATAAACTTCCTGAGACAATTTAAGTATAAACAGATGAATCAATTATTGCAGAATTTGAAATAAAGATGTTTTTTGAAATGATTGGAGGTAGTGTGGAATAAATGATTTAGAAGAATGAAAATTCACATGAATAAAAGTATTTAAATAGAACAAGTGTATAATATTAAAAAAAAGATTATTCAAATTTAAAATTAGATAATTTAATATGTATAAAAAAATTAGGTTAAGGATAATTTGGTAATGTTTATTTGGTGAGAACAGCATAAGAAGATAAATTATATGCATTAAAATGTATTAGTAAATCTTAAATTGTTGAATAACATTTAGAGAGACATTTAGCTGTAAAATAATATAATATAATAATAGTAAGAAAAATAAGTTTTATCAACAATTAATTTTCCATTTTTGATGCAATTTTATAAAAGTATGAAGGATTAAAATTATATTTATTTTTTGGTAGAATTTATTAAAGGGATGGAATTATTTGATGCTATTAGAGAAATAGGATTGTTGACTACTAATGATTCTCAATTTTATATAGGTTCCTTATTAATATGTGTAGAATATTTGCATAAATTATAAATTATTTATAGAGATATTAAACCAGAGAATATTATGGTTGATGAAAAAGTATTATATTTATTATATAAATATTAGGGTTATTTAAGAATGATAGATATGGGAACAGCAAAGTTTTTAAATTAAAAATCAATTAGAACATATACTATTATTGGTACTCCTCATTATATGGCTCCTGAAATTATTACAGGTAAAGGATATACATTTACTGTTGATCTATGGTCAATTGGAGTATGTTTATATGAATTTATGTGTGGTGGAGTACCTTATGCAGAAGATGCTGATGATCCTTATGAAATTTATGAAGAAATTCAAAAAAAATCAATTACTTTTCCTCCTTTTATGAAAGACAAGAAAGCAAAAAAATTTATTGAATAATTATTAATGAAAACACCAGAAGCTCGTTTGGGTGGAGGTTATGCTTCTTTAAAGGCTAATACTTGGTTTGATAAATTTGATTGGGTATTTTATATAAATATTATGTTAGGATAAATTGATGGATAAAGAACTTAAAGCTCCTTTTTTACCAAAGAAATCTAGAATGATTTAAGAAAAAGATATATAAACAGCCCTCACACTTGGAAAATTAGCATCAAAAGAAATTAATTAAATTGGTGTACCTTATAAAAAAGAAAAGGCAAGAGATCCAAATTGGGATTCAAATTATTGATATTATCAATCAAATATACTCATAAACTATAAAAATTAAGTTGATACTTAAATAAATGGGAATTTAATGTTCAAAACGAAAAGCTAAACCATCTGAACAATTCGAAATTCGCACTTCATAAACTCAAACTTCCCCTTAGAATCAACCTACATCAAAAGAAGCTTTAATATATTGTGATTCAAGTGAATTAGCAACTTTTATGAGAACTAAACCAGTCAAAACATTTCTAGCTGATCTAATGAAGAAGAAATAAATTTAATTAGACTCTTGTGATCAAATGGCAGCTATAATTGAAAGCAAATCTGAAATAATATTGAGATGTTATAATGATTTCACAGAGAAAGCATTAAAGATTAAATTGAAGGTCTTAGAATACTATAATGAGAATTATTTAAGATATAAATAGTAAACACATGATTAAAGTACAAACTAGGAACTCTTGGCTAATGAAACAATGCAAGTAATATTTATATATATTAATCTAAAAGCTATTGCTGGAGACGATAATCATTTTAAATTGTTTAATGGATAAAAATTTTGATCAAGACTCAGAATTATGGTGGGGAGATGGTTATTATGATGATAGAATCTCAGTTCTTTCTGTCTCTTAAGATACATCTTAATAAAATGATAAAATAGTTCAACCCATTTAATAATATCTCAATGCTTTAAAAAATACTATAGTTCAATCTATACCTATTCATGAATAACAAAGAGTAACTGAATAGCCTTAATCAATTGCAAATAGTACAGCCATTGCATAAGTACATCTTACTAAATTTTATCATGATTTGAAATTATAGTTTGTTAGAGATGTTGATGAGGAAAAGGTAGATGCATGATTATTTATATAAATTTGATTTTATTTAATGAATTAGCCTTATCTTCATCCTGCATAATAAATTAATTAGGACTCTGCTCCCAAAGAAACTCTTTATGTTACTGGATTGAATGATAAAATTAGATTGGAAGACTTAAAATTTGTGTTATACATTCTCTTTTCCTAATTTGGAGAAGTCTTATAGATTGTAATGAAAAAAACATAAAAATTAAGAGGTCAAGCTTTTATTGTATTTTAAAATATTACTTATGCCACAAATGCAAAATCAGCTTTATCTGGAATGATGGTGTATGAAAAGCCTCTAGTATTTTTGCCTTTTAATTTAGATTATTGAATTTGCATACAAGAAGAGTGTTATATTTGATAGAATGGAAGGCAAATTTTATTACAAATAGAAATAATAAAAGGAATTATAACCAACTCTGCCAACAGATTTGATTAAGGAGAAGAAATAAAAGAAATTGGAAGATAAATTGAATAATAATAATATTTTCAATTAAGGAGAAGTTAATAATGTGTTATTGATAGAATCATTACCATCATTTGTCACAGAAAATATGTTATCAGAATTATTTAGACAATATCCAGGTTATTCATTAATTAAATTAATAAATGCAAGAGGATTAGCTTTTGTTGAATATTAAAATGATGATCAAGCTACTGTAGCATTGAAAGGTTTGAGCAATTTTAAAATAACTCCTGAATGCCAACTTAAAGTAAAATATGCAAAAAAATGAGAAGTAAATTAAAACATCATTTATTTATAATATATATAAAATATCAAACAACGAATACTCCATATTTCAATTTACTTAACTACTAAGCTTTTTCTATATTTTATTAGGCAATTTATTCGATTTCACTTTTTGTATATTTTTTATCCATATATGGTTAAATGTCTGTAGTTTTAAATAATAAACAAGTTCTTAATTCTAATTCAATGTCACTCTATAAATCAATTAAAAATAATTACAGTTTATTCTAATAGACCCTTTTACATTAATTTCCAATTTCCAACACCAACTTTCTCTAATTACTCTATTAAGAATTATATTTTCTCCTCTGCCCAATATTAGCCTTTTTTGACTAAGAAATATTAATGATTAACAGTTCCATCAGGTTTACATATATGATTGTCTGATAATGCTAATCTCATTTTCTTAGCATATTCCTCTCTACTTATTGTGCTCATTAGAAATTGGCGGTATTTAATAATAATTAATGAAATATTAATCAATAATAAATAAATTTTTAATAATAGTTATTGTCATATGTAATTTAATGATTCCTTATAAGAAATAGAGATCTTAATCTTTAATCTATTATTAATATAAATAAAAAAAAGCAATCATAAAGATAAATATACTCTAATAATTATTTAATTTGAGATTCTATAAATAGTTCATATTGATATAAACATAAATTTAAAATATTCAGTCTTCAGAAAATTATATATTAAGATATATAACTAACAACTATAAAGTAATGGTTATAATAAAAGAATGATTATGAAAGTCATATTTTTGGCAAAATAGTTATATTCAAAATCATTATTTCAACTTCTCATAAAATTCGTTGATATCTTTGAACTTGCTTTCAATTTTAATTAGCTTATTCCTTCCTTTACCTCCTTTTTATACTTAAATAGCTGTTTTCTTAACTCCTAAAGTTTAGGCAATGAAATCGCATAATTCAGCATTGGCTTCTCCATCTTTAGGTGGTGCTGCAATATTAATATCAACAGCTTCATCAGAAACACCTGTAATTTAACTCACTTTAGAATTTGGTTTTGCATTAACAATTAGAAAAAAGGATCCCTCTTTAAAATATATTGATTTGGGTATGACTATTTATTAATTCATTAATTATATATAAAAAATGTAATTATATACCTCTTTTTAGAATGTCCGATATTTTACAATTAAATTAAACATTTATCTAAATATTTATGATTGTAGATTCCACTATGAACTTGAATCCTCGCATATTTATTATTAAATAATTTTAAAATTTTATATGTCTTTGATTTATGTTGTTATTGTAAGAGAAAACAATATAACACTTGTTGATTATGAATCTATAACCAGTAATTTCCCTTCTTTAGCAAAAAAACTATTTGATAAACTATAAAAAAACACTCGTTAAACATTTGTTTATGATTAAAAGTAATGAGTAAATATAGATTAAATACTAGTTATCATTTTCATTATATAAATGAAAATGATTTTACTTATTTATGTTTAACAGATGCATATTTTTCAAAAGCTACTGCTTTTGCATTTTTAGAAGAAATTAAAGAATCATTTTGTTAAAAATTTAGTGAAAATTTGAGAAAATAAGCTATTAATTATGGAATGCAATAATAATTTGTAGAGTATTTAAAAGAGAAGATGGTATCAATATTATTTTGCAATATTACAGTATTATTATAATAATGATCCAGAAAATGAAAAAATTGTTAGATTAAAAAATAAATTGACAGATGTAGCTAATTAAATGTCTTTAACTTTAGGTAATATATAAAATTATAATATCATAGACTAAATCTTAGATAGAGAAGATTAAGTTTAGATATTAGTACATTCTACTTAAACTATGAATAAATATGCAGATACTATGAAAACAACAGTAATTCAATCTTATTATCAATCAAGGCAACATAAGTCAGAAAAGATTAAGAAAGTAGGGTATTAAGAACAAGACTATTTATCGCTGCAGTTATTGTTACTATGTTTTTAGTCATTTATTTGCTCTATTGAAATTTATATATTATAATATATATAATTATCAATATTTTAAATTACCAATATAGTCCTATTCTAAAAAAGCATGTCCATTCACCCAAGAATGGAATTAATTAAATAATTTTGTACAATCTTTTCCAGCTCCTAACATTAATTTTTCAACTCCACCAGGATGATAATCTAAGTAAAGAGAAATGTCATAAACTTTTCCATTCAACACTGTCCATACATCTCCTGGTTTATTATGTTTTGAGATTTCTTCTGCAGTATAATTTTTAAAAGCAGGTTTATTTTTTCTTGGCTATTATACAAATTGCATTTATCCACCTTTTACTTAAACCTTCTCCCTTTTTGATACTTCTTCTTAAGGTAAAAGTGGAGCTATAAATCTACTTTCAGCAAAATTAGGTTTGCTTGATAAAAAGGCACCTGTACTTTGATTGAAAGATCCTAACATTTTATTGATTTGTTCATAAGTGACTTCAGTTGATTCAGTTTTACGACCATTTCTATATTTTTCTTTTAAAATCTTTCCATCTTTTGGTTCATATGTATATCTCACCTCTTTTTAAGATTTAATGTCCATAGAATTCTTTACTCCTGGCAAGAATAGAAATACATAACGATTTTCAATACATTCCTCTAATGCTAGTTTCTATAATTTTTATGATTGCAGTAAGATTTTATCAGTCATTGAGAACTTCTTATAGTCCATTATAATGTAATTGAGTATTATAATTAATTCCTCTTTAGTAGCATTCAGATGCAAAATCTCATCAATTCTATCATCTGTGACAATAGATGTAATTTTTTCTTCCATTTTTTATATGAATACTTTATTAAAATTATTTATTTTAGTTTGTGACAAATTATTGCTTATTTATTTCAAATAATTTGTGATTCTTTCTATAAACAATGCATATTTTCAATTTTATATAATATATAATATTCATCTACTCTATATAAATTATAAGTTATTATGAACTACAAAATGGATCTAATAAAGAAATTAAATTTCTTTGCCAATTATTATAACATCAAATAATAAATTAAAAATTTTATAAAATTCCTTCTTATTTCTTATTAAAAATGCTAAAGTTTATTTATTTTTTTTTAAATTCTTCCTATTAAACAAGGTTCTTATTGGTTTCCCTCATTTTTATCACTCCTTATATAGATTATGAAAAAAGTGATCTTTCAGAATTCCTTCTATAAAGTAGAAATAAATGTTTATTAATTTTAATCAAGTTTTGCAATTGTAATAAAAATTCTTAATTTTATAAAGAGTCTCTGAGTCTTTCATTAATTTTAAAGAAATGATAGGTTTAAAAATTAAATCAACTTAAATATTACATTCTTAAAATATTATGTATCCTCTTTTTTATATTGATAAAATATAAGAAATATAAAAAAATGTTGTAATATTCTTTATATAATATTATTACAAATATGATTTCTAAAACATTAAACTTATCATTAATTAATTTTTATTAAATTATAATATGTTAGTATATAAGTCTGGATATTACTATTGATTTGATATTGAATGTTATATTTTGTTATTTAGAATTTTAAATACAAATATGTCACATAATTTATAATAGTTATAATTTAAATAAATTATCATATTATAAATTTAATTATAAATAATTATCAGATGTTTTTAATCATCTGTTTATACTTATAAGTTACATTTACATAATATATTGCCACATAAATTAGAAATGATGGATAAATAAAATAATATAAATTACACACTACAAATGAGATGATTGTGAAAAATGGTTAATCTATTAAATTAAATTAAATCTTAATTCTTGAGATTAGGTTTGAAAATGATTCATAACTTGACATTTAGATTTTTGATGAAGATAGAAAACATTTCAGAATCCCTTAATAACCTGTAAATGCTTCTAATTACATTAGCCATTCAATTATAAGGATATAGAGAATCCTTTACCTTTAGAAAATTATAATTACAGTGTTATTATTACTAATGACCCAGTCACAATTTAGATTTACAGAGATGATAGAGCAATTTTTACTATTTCAGAATTGGTTTATAGTGAAAGTTACATAGAATTCACACATTATCCTCAAAATAAATAAATGTGGGGTTTAGGAGAAAGAAACTAAGTTGGTTTTCGTTTTAAATAAGGAATATATACTCTATATGCAAGAGATGAACCAAATATTATAGAAGATGGTAAGAGACCAGGAAAGAATGTTTATTCAAGTCATCCAGTTTTATTGAGTATGGAAGATAATGGAAAATTCAATATTATGTTTTATAAATCATCTTCACCAATGGACATTATTTATTAAGAAGAAAAAATGAAATTTATAACAATAGGAGGCATAATTCATTTAAAATTATTTTTAGGTGATTATTCACCTAGAACAGTAATCAAGCAATATCATAATTATTTAGGTGGTTGGATATTGCCTCCTTTTTGGAGTTTTGGTTTTCATTAAAGCAGATGGGGATATAACAATAGTAGTAAATTAGTATAAGTAGTTGAATAATACTAAAAAAATAAAATTCCTATTGATACAATTTGGTCAGATATAGATTATATGCATGATAGATAAATATTTTCTGTTGATTCAAATAGATTTACTAAATAAGATTATGAAAATATAAGAAATTTAGGTGTTAGATATATACCTATTGTTGATGTAGCAGTAGGTGTTAAGTATGGTAATCAAGATGAAGGTTATAAAAAAGGTATAGAATATGATATTTTTGTCTATTCTCCAGAGACTGGTTATAGATTTTAAGGAAGAGTTTGGCCAGGAGAATCATATTTTCCTGATTTTTTTCATCCTAATATTAGTAAGTTTTGGAATGAAATGCATAAACATCTCTATAATTAAGTAGAGTTTGATGGATTATGGGTTGATATGAATGAACCTGCTAATTTTTGTGATGGAGAATGTAGTCTAAATAGTAATTTACATAATCATTAACGAAAAATTGATAAAATGAATGAAAATATTAATTTTGCTTATATTCCTGGAGCTATATCATTATCCAATAAAACACTTCCTCCACATTTAATTCATTATGGAAATTACTTACATAAAGATGTTCATAATCTCTATGGTATCATGGATTCTTATTATACTTATCAAGCCTTGAAAGAATTGGGTAAGATTCAACCTTTTCAGATTACTAGATCTACATTTCCAGGGACTGGTAAATATGCTTAACATTGGACTGGGGATAATGGAGCATCATGGGATTTTCTTTATTTATCTTTAGGATAAATATTTTCATTTTAAATTTATGGTATCCCTATGGTTGGTGCAGATGTATGTGGATTCATGGGAGATACTAATATTAAGCTTTGTTCAAGATGGATCTAATTGGGAATATTTTATCCTTTCTTTCGTAATCACAATAATGATTTATCTAAATCATAAGAATTTTATAATATTGATCATACAGTCATTCAAACAGCTTAAAAGAATATTCATTTAAGATATTCTCTTTTGAAATGGTATTATTCTATCTTCATAAGAGAATAGAATCATGGCACAAGTATATAACATTCATTTATTTTTAGTCATAAATCCCTTGTTTTTTGTATTTCCATAAGATAATATGTCATATAGAGATTTTGTGATGGATACTTAATTCATAATTGGTAATGAATTAATGGGTGCTCCTATATTAGATGAATCAATCACTAGAAAGGCTTATTTTCCAGAATCTGAATGGTATGACCTTATAACAGGTTTAAATTATAAAGGTTAATAAGATCATATACTTCATTGTTCTTATAGTGATATAACACCCATATTTATTAGAAGCGGATACTTAATAATTTAAAATACAAAAGAATCTATTAAAAATGTGAAATCTTTAGATAATCATTATCGATTGATAGCTGCTATTTCTAATTTAGTTTCTATAGGAGTTTTAGCTGATTTGAAAGATTTTGAAAATGAAGAAGAAGCAATTAATGCTTAATTAATAGATTTTAAATTGGAAATAATTAAAGATGTTGTGATATTAAATCTTTCGTAATGTCAATCAGAACTCATTATTGATGAAATTATCATCTATGGTTAAGAATGTATTTTTTAAAATTGTATATCTGGATTTTATAAACAAAATTCTATATTTATAGGACCTTTTAATTTAGGAAAAGATAATTTGAAATTAGTATTATAATGATATTATATATTCAATATATCTATTTACTTCTTTATTCATAAATTAAGACTTATCTCTTTGCTTAATCAATTGCTTTCCAAAATCTTTAATTAAATTTTTCATCTAAAACATCAAAATTTTGAATTACAGGTTAATTAGTATTTAATTTAAGATTTGAATTATCAATAAATTGAATTATATTAGGTTATTAATCATTTATTTATAATGATTATTATTTAGAATGATAGTAAATTTCAGATTATATATTTTGTATAGGTTATGTTGATTTTCTACCAGAAAAATAATCTAATTGTTATGATTTCTTTTAATCTTATTCATTTACTTCAGGTATACTTGCAATTTTAGAAACTTAATCAAATTGATTTGGATCTGTTTTGACAGGTGATTTAATATGATAAGTTTCAATAATTTGTGATTATTTTAATGATTTAGTTTATTGAGCAAGTAATGTTGTAGTCTTTTTTAATTATGATTCTCCATATATTGTTTTAGATATCTTCTTACTCATTTGATAATTTTGAAAATATTATAATGATTTTGTATCTCCAATCATATCTTTAACAAAATTTGAATACTCAATAGAATAATACATATCCATCACTTTAATACTATCTTCAAAAGATAAACAACTAGCTTCAAGTAATATTAAACCTATTTCTTTACTAATCTTATGACTATATTATGATTCTTCAATATATAGATTTTTAAAGTTAGTTGAATTTATTAAAAACAAAGTATGTAAACTTAATTTAATATGTCCTTTTTTAGTTATAAATATATTATGTAGATTTAATTAAGTTTATTTGACTAGTTCTGGAATTTAAAGATATATGGAATATCCAGCAATCAAATTCTTAGCTAGATACCATAATTCAGATTCTGCAAATTGTGTTCCTTGTTATCTTTTTACTTAAATTTCATCATATAATGAATGTGATGGATATTCAAATATATTATTTGAGATGTATATTAGAAATGGAGATGTCAATTCATGTTTATGAAGATTCTACAATTTTATATACCTTTTAATAAAAGCAATATAATCTTAATTATTTAATTTTGGAATGACTCTCATATATTGTTCAATATCAGGAAAATCTTAGATTTAGCATTCTAATATGTCTATTTGACCAAAAAGTGAATGTTAAACTTTTTGAATGAATTTAAAGTCATAATTATCACCAATATCATTTAATGCATTTCCCATATAAAATTTATTTTATTTAATATAATTTATATTACATATTTTATTTAATTTAAGATGACTATATTATATAATGTTATTATATTGAATTTTTAATGATATTATTAATATATATTATGGTTATCTATTATTATTTATTAAATAATAATATTTTATACATTACACAAAAGTCTGGTCTTATAAATCTCTACAATTATTCTTAATAATAATCTCATTTAATCAATATTGATTTATTATCAATATATAAATAATCATAATATATAACTCTTATTATTATGATTATATAAAGAACGAATCATGATCTTCAATTTATTTAAATTGAAATTCTATAAATAGTATAATAAATTTAGAATAAACTCCATTATTATTAAATATTTTATAATTTTTAATATATAAAACAATATGAATGAGATTGATTTCTATGTCAAAAGAGTTAAGGGTTGATATGATTGATCTTAAAAATCAATATATTGTTAATTTTATTGATTGAATATTATATTTATAAAAGGAATAAAAATATAAATAGATATTGTTATAAAATGATTCTAATTTTCATGTCTAAATGCAATTAAATTGATACCAAAAGCATAAATAATATAATTAATGGGTTAGTTTTTATCATAACCAATCACCCAAAAATTACATGAATAGTAGTCTAATGCAATTCTGTACTGCCATACTGCGTCAATGCAAGGTTAGTGTGTAATATTACAATATAGGTTGGAGACTTTAAATGGAAGATGCTCACATTATGAAAGTAGATTTTAGAGAAGATATATCATTATTTGCTGTTTTTGATGGACATGGTGGTGCTGGAATTTCAAATTACTTGGCTGATAATTTTCTAGAAGCTCTTGTTCAATAACCTTCATTCATAGGTGAAGATTACACTTAAGCCTTACATGATTGTTTTATACAATTAGATGAAATGATCAAAACTAATGTGGCTAAAAGTAATCATATTATTCCTACATTCATTTTTAGATACATTTATTGGTTCAACAGCAGTTGTGGCTTTGGTAGTCTAGAAAACTCTATATGTAGCCAATTTAGGGGATTCTCGTTGTCTTCTGATGCGTGATGATGAAACTATTGAATTAACTAAAGATCATCTTCCATGTAATGAATTGGCTAGGATCAGATTTGCAGGAGGATTTGTTAATGAAGAAGGACGTCTCAATGGAACACTTTCAGTTTCACGTGCTTTTGGTGATTTCGAATTCAAATAAGAACCATTACCTGCCAATTAACAAATGGTGATTGCTGAACCTGAAATAAGAAAGATTAAATTGAATAAAGAAGACAAGTAAGACTTACTGCTATGATCTAGATTCTTATTTCTTGGTTGTGATGGATTATTCGAAACAATGAATAGTTATAAAGTGATGTAATTTATAGGAGAACGATTAGAAAGGGGTATGGAACCACCATTAATACTTGAAAAATTGCTCGATTCTTCTTTGGCTATCGATACTTCTACTGGTTATGGATGTGACAATATGACTGCAATGTTAATATTGTTACACATCTGAATGATATTCATTTTTAAAATAATACAACTAATCAATAAAATAACTCATATGAAATTTAAATTTAAAATGGAATATTCATTATCAATGAATAAATAAATTTCAACTGCCAATTTCTTAAATTAATTCTTAAATACTCTTCATATATTATTTAATAAGGTTTCAAAATACTATCTAAATATATTTCTCTATTTGCTCCATAATTATATTTAATTGAACTATTTTAATATTCAACTCAAATTTTATATAACTGAATCAATGGAATTCAAAATTCAATTATTATTGGCAATCCAAATATCTAAATGTAAAATCTATTAAATTCAGTACCTTAATTTTAAAAATATCTCATTAATTTTTATTAAACGTATCTGCATACATGAAACATAATAAACCAAAAAAGGAAACTAAACTCTTTACATATCCATATACATCCTTCACTTAACCCTATATATATTGCACATATTGTTATTTTATTTTATTAAATAATACTCTTTCATAAATCCATAGGACATAAAGACAAAAACAATATATTTTAATATAATCCTTTATAGCTTCTGCAACTAAAATTTTCCCTTAAAATTCCAAGCATACATTTTTTATATTCTTAATTTTGGCAATCCTGATATCCAAAAGGTATTAATAATTTTCAAAACAAAATTTTATAATTCTGATATCCTAGTTAAAACTGAATAATATTCAAATTCTAATTAATCTAGTGCATTATGATCAAAATGTTTTATAAATTAGGAATTATTTTTTAATTTAAAAATTATAAAGTATTTTAAATAGAATTTTGGTAGCCAAAAATTATGCGTGCTAAAGAAATATCGATAAAACTGTAGAATTCTATCGATGATAGAATAAAAATGAAAAATCATAACATAATATAATAATAATTATTATAAATTCTCTTATTTACTCTAAACCATTATATTTATATATTTTTAAATTAATCAGCTTTCAACTTATCTATTTATTTTCTATAAAAGGACTAAAGTTTAAATTAAAACTAATTGTTTATATATAAATAACAAAAAATTAATAAATAAAACTTATCAATTTTAAAATAAATTTACAATAATAGATTTTAAGTTACATCTTTGTATTTATTATATATCACTCATAATAGTATCAAGAATATTTATATTTTTCTACTTCTAGTCTTAATTTTTATTCTTTATCATGGTCTATTTCTTCATCTTCATTTGGATCTATTTATGGTTTTATAGACTTTAAGAATTCTAACCTATCTAAAAGTTTCTTAATTAATTCATTGATTCCTTAAAGACTAAAAATTTAATAAATTAAATTTACTTTGAAAATGAAGTATTTGTAAAAATATGAATACCTAAATATACTTAATTAAGGTCTAATTAATCCATCCAAAAATTAGTTTTTTCTATAGCTTCTTTAATCATTTCTTCTGTTTCTTATTTCTCATTTATATACACTCTCAAAACTGTAAAAAGTTCATCAATTTTCATTTCACCAATACATTCTATAGTGACTTTAATCATAAAATTTAAGAATTCCTTTAAATTCTAGTACTCTAAATATTAAGATAATTATTTACATTCAATTTAACTAAATCCCCATATGATTTGGGAGACACTCCAACCATCTAATTCTTAAAGTTCTTCCTCTGTTGAATTAAGAATATATATTTCCATTAAATCTACTAAATCTTGAGATATTGGAATATTTCTTATATATGCATTCATAACAAGTGCAACATCTCTATTTATAACTTCACCTTCTTCAAAATATTATATTAAATGTTTTTCTATAAGTTCATATAAATCAATATATTTAGATTATTACTTTTCTTTATTTTTTAATCTCTTAAAATAATCACTTGTCATCCACACAATTGATGTAAGTTATTTTACTGATAAATTTGGTACTCGTTCTTTACAAGCATCAGCTATTTTTTCCATCCATTTAGAATTGTATTATTTTTAGACTAAGGCCCAAAGTAATTCTGTTATATCATCACTCGTATATATGGCTTAAATTAGATGTTATTCTAAAGAATCAATAAATTCAGGTGTTCCTTAATTATTTTCAATAAAAAGAACAGCAATTTATACAAGATCAGCAGGATTACAATCTAATAATCTTTATTTAAGTAATCTTTCTGCATATTTAAAAATAATGTTATTCTTTTGATTAGCAGCTATAATTAACAATTGTTCAATTTCATTTAATTAAAATTCATCTATTAATATTGCAACTCTATCTTCAATTAAACGATATAATATGTCAGATCCTAATTATGTTCTTACATATGTATAATATACTTAAAGTAATTATTTTTTATTTAAAAATTTTTACATTTTATAAAGATGAATCATTATAGCATTAAGTATTTCTTATCTATCTTCTATAGGTTCATTGCCTAAACCATAATATCTAAGATAATTCAAAACTGAATCAGTATTAGTTTAAGGTAGTGAATCAATAATTTATTTTTTAATAGAATAGAAGAAATTGTTATTATCTGGTTAAAATTTACGATAAATTTGAAGTGCTTTGATAGTAACTTTGTGATTATTTCTTTATACTTCTTCTAAGATAGCATTTTCGAATTACTTAAACAATGGTTTTAGATATTCTAAATTAGTCTCATTTATTGATTCCAAAATTAAAAGTAAATCTTCTACTTATATTTAAGATTAAGTATTGAGTAGATGTTAATAAGCAGCAAACCATAGATTTTCATCTCCTAATTAATGTTTGAAGCAGAAATTCAATAACAAAGCTAATTCCCTTATGTTTTAAAATTGATATAAATTTTCTTTGGAACTTTTTAATATTTCTTAAAATTAAGGAGATTATATTAAATCATGATTATCATACACATAGCTAACTTAGCCTAATAGTTTGACCAACCCTTTAGTGTTAAAATTAATATCAAATAAGTAATTCTTTTAGAATTTTTCAATTTCTTGCATAGCTTCTTATTTCATTTTCTTTAATTAATCAGGTTGGACATTCTCTCCTTTTCTTGGATTCAAAATTTTAGGATTTGATTTATATTGTTAAAATTGTTCATTAATATGCTTATGTCTTAGATTTAAGGCTTCCTAAGCAACTTTAGAGAAATATTTTCTAATTTAATTTAGTATCATTTTTAATAAATATGCTCAAACCATCTGGGCTTTATGTTAGCCTTTAAATTAAAGGGACTTTACTTTTAAGGACTAAATGGAGTGTGCAAATCTACTTATGAACTTGATACTGCTTTATGTCTCTTAATTTAACTTTGAGTATCTCTGGGTCTGAGATTTGAATAAGTCTTAAAATGAAACCAATTTGAAACAAGTATACTTTTGGTTCTATGTTTGGATTACTAATTATCAATTTCAGATTGATGAATGTTAGACCCTTTATATGGTGACAATGTATTTGGTTCATTTTTACTTCTAATGCTATTTTTTTATTTTAACTTAGAATCTATGTAATTTAAGCTTGAGTGAATGAATTTAATCTGAATTTCTGTGAGATAATCTATTTCTTCAAGTTCTAGGTATCCTACTTAATAAGCTTCGAGTGTTTTAATTAAACCTTAACTAAACCATAGAGGATAATTACTAAGCACAGGTATTGTACATGGTTATAAGATTACAGTATTTAAACCTTGACAATGAATTAAATTATTGAGATTCTAGAATATTTATTTTTCAATTGTGAAATTACTTAAATCATCTAAGAGATTCTCATTTAATAATTTAGAACATATTTTCTAAATAGATCTATTGTAGTGTTAATTAGGATCTGATGAAGGTGGACCTAAAATTACAATTTCAGTTGTTGCTTTAATTAATGGTATTTAAGATGTTTGAATATGATTGTAATAGTTTATTATTTCCATTATTTATGGATGTAATTGAATCTAATTGTAATCAACCTCAATTTTTATTTTAGTATTATTGAATTTATCGAGAAGCATATTATATGCAGCTGCTTACTTTGAAGGTACTTACCAATAAATATCATAATAGGCTTATGTTTCTATTGCTGCACACTGGAGAGATTTAATTTATTAATCAAACATTTTAATAATGTCTACAAAAAACCATTGAGTATTAACAACAAAGATGGTATCATTACTTAATTGAAAGATTATTGAATCGATATCATCAAAAGACAAATAGATTTTGGGAGTCTACAAAATTAGTAATATTCAACATTAGAATTCATATTCTTAAGTTAATGAGGATCTATACAAAAATATATAATTATTTTAGTAGATTTGAATGAGATTAAATATTTCAGTAACATATTAGATTAATTACAAGAATAATTGCATTAATGACTACTTTACAATAATTCTTAATTGTTGGAATTGTATAAAATAAGATAAAATTAATGAGTTATCTTAGTGAAGGAATCTAATGAGATAAAAAATTATAAAGAATCATTTCAACAAGAGTAACAACAAAAAATAGATAATCGATATATTGAATAAATAATAAAGATAAAAAAAGAGATTATTTGAAATAAATATAATTTAATAAAAAACAACAATAACAATTATGTGAATAATATTAATAATTAAATGATAATTTAGAAAATGTGTCTAAGTTATATAAACTATAAAATAATAAATTATGAATAAATTTAAAATATTAATATTATAACATTAAGAATAATAATAAAATAAAAGATTTTTAATTTAATAACTTAAATTATATCATTTGAATTATTTTTGTGATCCAATTTTTTTTGATCTTGATGGAGTAAATGGTCTTCTTCTCTATTGTAATTCATCATTATTGATATCTACATATTTGACAAAACCTTAAGTTCTTTAAGCAGGTTCCTCTAAATTCAACCATCTAGCTTCATTAATAATATTTGCTGTAGGTATAACTTTTGGTATTATATCTCCTCTTTTTGTAATAGAGAGAATAGCTAATATATTATTATAAATATTTAAATACCTCCTTTATTGCCACAATTACCATAATCACTACATGAAAATATTGTGATCACACTATTGTTTAATTTTTCAAATCCTTCATTTGTAGGTTCATGAGATCTTATTATCATATTTAAATTATTTTCTTAAAGAAATTTATTGATTCTATTATTTCCAAATCTAATTATAGATTTATTTTAAAAAAGATCTCTTTCAACATTTTGTTAATTTTCTTATTCATCTTCATTTAAACATGGATCAGACCATAATAATTCTAAAGCAATCTTTTACTGATACTAAATTAATATTGCAAATACTTTACAGTAACAGGATCATGTATAATTTGGAGAGGTTTTTAAATGAGTTCAATTTCATCAATTGTTCTTATAGTTTATCCAATACCTCCATGAACACAAAATATTTTATCTTCAATAACTGCAGCTAATGGCATATATTAAAAAACTCTGTTGATTCTTTGATAAATACTATTTGGATCATTAATATCTTCAGCATATTTTAAATAACATTCATCAGCAAATCCAAAGATCTTATTGATTTTAGGATCTTCATGATGACCTCTTAATAAATGAATTTAATCTCCATATTTTACTTTAAGTGTAAATAACAATAGAATTATTTCAAGAGATCTTGTGCCTCTATCAACATAATCTCCCAAAAATAAATAATCTTAAGAATCTATATCACCATTATATAAATTATCATATGGAGCTTTAAAATGATCAAAAAATCTCATGAGATCTAAATATTAACCATTTAAATTTCCATATATTTTTATTGGTCTTCTTAATCTTAATACTATAGGTTCTTTTTCAAGAATTCTCTAAACTTCATCACATAATTTAATAATAGAGTCTTTTCTAATACCTGTCATTAGATTTGAATTTGGAGGAATAGATTAATAATCTTTAGGCAATAATAAATTTTATATAAAAGGAGCAAGCATTTATTCAACAAATTAAGATTTATTTTATGAATTTGGATCTTAGAATCCTGCACCTAATTTTCTATGTTCATCTTATAATTTATCAATAGGAACTTTTTTAACTTAATTAGTAATGTCTTCTTCTGGACCATAAACCATAGCTACTAAAGCTTAATTAGCTAATCTAATATTTTTGTTATTGGCAGATGACACACGAATTTATTATTATGTTTATTAATCTAAAAATTATTATTTAAATAAAACTTCTCTATTGAGTTTATTAATTTGTTCTTCTAAATTAATCTTACGTATTATTGTTACTTGAATTAGGAGGAACTCTAGGATTGAATGATTCCATGAATGTATTATCATTCCTCACTGTATTCAATTATCTAAATAATTAAGGAGTTTATGCAAATCGTTTATTGAGATCTAATCTTAAGATACATTCTGTTGGAATATTTGGTTAATCGGAATCAAATCCACCATGTAGATATAGAAACTAATCAACTAACCATGATGAATGTCTGAATCTCTGGATTGATTGGAATTTATACCAGTCAGATGTTTCAGTATCATATATTTCAAATGGAAGAGTATCTCCAACTTAATTTGATCTACCTCCTATTACTAACATCAAAGTTCCCAAAAACAAAGTTGAATGCTGATATCTTTAAACTGGTATTTCATTTTAGTTTTTATAAGGAGCTCTTACCCAATCCCATCTTCCATCTCGATGTCTTCTTAAACCCCAAGCATCATTCAAAGCACTTTAATCACTTGTTCTACCTCCAAATGTTACCATCATTCCATTTGCTGATCCTGTATTACAAAGAGCAGCTGAATGATAAACTCTTACACTTGGTAATTCAGATGGGCATTCCAATTTAGACCATGAATATGGTGATTTTTCTAAATTAAAACTCCAAACATCATTAACTGGTTCTTAACCTGTATTTCCTCCAAAAACAATTAAATATGGTTTTATGAGTACCATAGTATGACCATACCTTCTACCAGGGGTGGTTCCAATAACTGGTACTGTAACCCATGTACCAGTATCATCACGCAATTCAAAAACAAATAAATTATCATCTGCTAAACCACCTCCTCCTACTGCTCCTCCAAATATAATCATTTAATTCAATTCAATAGCCAATGCTTAATGTGCTGCTCTATTTGTTGGAACACTTCCACTTGCTTCAATTCTCTTCCATTTTCTCTATGTAACATCACCTATATAAACATCTCCTGTTATAGTATATCTTCCAGTATCCCCAACAGCACCTTCCTCTATACAATATTCTACCTCCAAAAAGAGCAATTTTGTTAGGAGCTATCATACAAATTGTATGTCCAAAACGTGGTTGAGGATTGTCTCCTCCAAAAGTCACTGTTTCCATTATTATTCAAATAATATATATTAAATTAATATATCAAATAATACAAGAATAAATAAAATCAATCACAAGTACATAAAGAGAATAAACCATGTATTTTTTTTCTTTAAATTTCTTAAGAACTTGAAAACTTTCTTAATGAATTGAATTAATAAATATGTTATCCTGGAATGTGTTCTTTCACATAACATAGATTCAATAATGTATATTCTTTCTCATTAAATTCTCCACCTTTTTATCTTAACAAATTTTATATCTAAAATCCTAATTCATCTTCCCCTCTCTCAATATGAAATTATAAATCATTATGTCCAGCACCTTTCACTATTGCCAATTAAATTTTCCCTCTTGCATTATGTTACAAATATTTATTATACAATTTCTCACTCTATTCATGACTAACAATCTTATCTGAATCCCCATGAATTATCAATATATTACTACGAACATATTAAATTTTCTTTTAATTAACGTACATATCCTATTACCCATAATCTCCTTCACCAAACCAATTATATATTGATGCAATAGGAGCTTATAATATCAATCCTGCCAATCCACCAAAACGTGTAGCTATTTCTGTAGCAGGACCTGAACCTAATGAAAAACCCCATAATATAATTTGATTCAGAGAATAATTTAATCTATTTATTGCAAAGGATAATACACTTTGTAAATCCTCATAAGTTTGTTATTCACTAATTTTATATTATCCAAAACCTATCCCATAACCTGTGTAATCGTATGCTATAAAATCTACTCCATATTCTATGCTTATTCTTTCTCCAAAAAAGTATACATCACCTAAATCACTAGCATTTGCATGAGAAAATATAACTAACATTCTGCACCTTTAAGTTTATTTCTCAGTATCACACTAAAAAGACTTTGAATTAAATAAGCATTCCTTTGATTAGGATAGATCAGTTTTAGCATTTTATAAACTATATTTGGATCAACAATATACCCTGTTAAATGAATCAAAGGAACATATAATTAATCATTTTTTAGTATGTATGAATCTATAAGTAAGTAATAACTGCAAATTTGTTTCTTCACTCCTTTTATAATTGGAAAAAAATAGTATTTCCCATCCTTAAACTCAAAAGTATATTAAGCTGGATTAGGTGGTCTGAAAGAATACTTCTTTACCAAACTATTAGGAATGAGATTACCAAGACTTTACTTCATTTATTATTATTATATTAATAATAATATTCTTTTTAATAATTCTAATGGCTGTATCATTTCTAATACTTATTCAATATACAAATAAATATAAAGAAAAAATAAAACCATTTTGATATTATCTCAAAAAATAATAAAATATAAACTATTTATGCTTTCGATTAATAGCAAATCAAATTACAAAAGACAATAAAATTCTCTCTATAGAAACCCTTCCAAATCAATGTCTCAATCTTCATTTGATCTATAAGATATTCTATTAGATAGAAGAATATAAATTGCAGAAAATTTATCAAAATTAAGAGATTATCAAGAAGAAAGAGAAAAACAATATCGTCAAAGAGAAAAAGAATACTAAAAAGCAAAAAGGAAAGTTCATATATATTAAGTTCTAAATCAAAGGTTTCGAGCATAATCCTTTATTGAAGAACAATAATAATAAGCAAAATTACTTGAAAGATCAATGAAATATGTTCCAATGTCTAATAAATCAGTAAATGAATCCAAAATATTAACTCTAAAAATGAATTTAGAACCTCTTAGAAACAAAGCAAAATAAATTAAACCATATATTGATCATGATGTAATGATAACTTAAAAAT